CGATGATATTGATGGCGCTGATTTTTTATCAGCCTAAATCCACAGCCCTATAATTGAAGGACCATTAACACATTTCCTGGACGGTACATATCTGACCGAATTCGCTGTATGCACAGAGTCATTGAAGCATGACATCGAACACCCAACAATAAACCCACTCTCAGATTTGTCAATACACAAGCATGCATAATCTCCAACATTTACCATACTTAATCAATGTATAATGTTATCGTTATGTTTCTGACAATTTCAAAATTAGATCGAAATGAAAAATGGAGAAAAAAGTGTTTGTAATTTGTGTTATTGATAAAATCTATGACTAGTATGGCAGTGTATTTGAGCACATCAACGGGCAATTCGGCATGGCATACCAGGTAGTGGTAACTGATTTCCATAATATCAAATGTTCGCCTGCTTCAGCGTATGCTAATTAATCCATCAATTCATTTCAGAATTAAGTTTTATTCAGGTTTCAAGATAAAATACTGTTCTATTGGTTAGTGGCAACAGGCATAAAACAAGAGGCCCAAGGGCCTTAGCTGTCACCGGAGTTATATCATAGGTACTGGTAGCTTTATTTTATTGTTTAGATGTGATGTGGAAATCAGCATGTACACTAAGTGAAATACAATACTTGTCATGTCATCAAAGGATAAGAATTTGAAAATATTGCCCTAGCCCCTGAAGATGGGGCAGGAATCCCAATTTTACAATGTAATACCCTCATTCACTAACGATGACTCTAAGTTCGAGTAATTTTCTGTTGAAAATGGATAAAATTTAACCAAAAGTGTTATTTCCCTATATAAACTGTAGTAAACTTTACCCCCTCCCCAAGGGAGAACGGATAGCTCGGGGGTCCTGAAATTAACAATTTAAATAAAGCCCCTGATGATCTTTCTTTCCATGCAGAGAAAATGACTGTAGTAACCTCTGAGGCTGGAGAAGAAGATTTTTGAAATATTGGTTAATTTTCCCTTTGGGGCCCTTGCCCTGGCTCCAGGGAGTGGGGTAGGAATCCCAATTTTACAATTTTGAAAAAAATCCATCCACTTAATTGTTCTTGAGAAGTTAAAAAAAATGTAAAAAGTTTGCGCACGACGGACGACGATGGATGGAAAGCAATTAGAATAGGTTACTTAAGCAAAGCTCAGGTGACCTAAAAGGTTAAAGAATGGCTTTACAGCAAAGTTATAATTGCAAAAAACTGCTCCGCCTCAGAGCTTCTTTTTTTTAAACTTGGATGTATTCTTCTTGATATACAAAAGATAAAGTGACTTAACAAATTTTACTGGGTTTGAATAACTTCACTTTGCAAAGTACATGTTTTTACAATTCATGTGTCATCAACTTTTGTATACCTTTCAAAAATGTCATCAATTCTTGTGTATTTTTTTAATATGTCACCAGTTCTTGTGTATTTTTTTCAAATGTGTCTTCCATTCTTGTGTACTTTTTAAATGTGTCCTCAATTCTTGTGCACCTTTCAATTGTAAACTATATGTACTGTATTGCTGATGTTTACTGTATTGTTTTGGCTATAGTAGCACCTTAAAAGCATGCGATTGACTAAAACAAAGCCCACATTTAACGTATTGTTGTCGAACGATCTGTACTCAATGTAGATACTTATATCCCTTCGATTTCTAATTCAACACAGAGGGGACTGAATTAAGCTGTATTCATGTAAATCAAATAGGAACACTACAGCTTCACTAACAACCATGTGAATGTATTCTGTGGCAATCCCCCATACCAATACAGACAGTGTGGCATCTATATAAACATAAAGGCTAAATCTCTCCTGAATAATTCAGGTCTGGCGATCCCTGGGTAGGTCTTTAGCAGTGTGATGATCCACATCAAAGGCACAAATCATTACTGATCAGGTGAAAAAAGGCTCCTCCCTGCTTCCTGGATCAAAAGATCATCCGACTTCTCTACGTTAAGGTGAAGGATGAAAGTGGTAGATAGGGGGCTGTAATAGGGGCTGAAATAGGGGCGGTGTAGGGGCGGTGTAGGGGTGGTGTACGGGCGGTGTAGGGGCGGTGTACGGGCGGTGTAAGGGCGGTGTAGGGGCGGTGTACGGGCGGTGTAGGGGCGGTGTAGGGGCGGTGTAGGGGCTGTAATAGGGGCGGTGTACGGGCTGTAATAGGGGCTGTAATAGGGGCTGTGTTGGGGCTGTGTAGGGGCTGTGTAGGGGCGGTGTAGGGGCTGAAATAGGGGCTGTAATAGGGGCGGTGTACGGGCTGTAATAGGGGCTGTGTAGGAGCGGTGTAGGGGCTGAAATAGGGGCTGTAATAGGGGCGGTGTACGGGCTGTAATAGGGGCTGTAATAGGGGCGGTGTAGGGGCTGTGTAGGGGCAGTGTAGGGGCTGTGTAGGGGTGGTGTAGTGGCTGTGTAGGGGCTGTAATAGGGGCTGTAATAGGGGCGGTGTAGGGGAGTTAGGTTTGAAGGGGGCCGAGGGGTTGGTAAGGGCAATGTGCAGTGATGTCAAACCTGATTGTCTTTATTATAATTTAACCCCGTCAGGTGTATTTAGGTAAGTGTATAATGGATGTATAGCCACAAAACAAATGTGATTGAAGTGAAAAATCAAATTTACAACAGCAATCTCTTCAATCCTCACAACTCCAGACAATTACCTTTTCAGATGATAAACTAATGACTCTATATAAAGTGTTTCCAGCTGAATATAGACATCACAACAGTATATCTGAGCCTAACAGTATCCGTAACTCACAAGGGAAAATTGTTCTATTGAACTATATTTTACTCGCGACTGAATTTATTGATATTTCTACTGTTAGATCTGTGAACTATAGTTTTGTTCAAATATTTATATGTTGATTGTGATAACTAATAATACTTCAAATACTGTTTCACTGCTGAATCTGCAGACGTATTCCAATTTTTTCTCATTTCAAAGGAAGACGGAGTACATGTAAACCCATGTAAACACCATAAGTGTCAGGAGTTTCCCCCGAGCTTCAATGATATTTAATTAAATGTGTTTAAACCCATCCTGGTTAATACTGTAGTACTGTAGCCATTTATCTTCATCTTTAATAACCTCTGATCTATACCTTTGAAACAAAGAAAATCTTTAACGGCTGTTTAATTGGCAGTTCTAACCTTACTGTTCTAGAAGTACAAATCTGACGTCTTATACCTGTAGTGTCGGCTACAATTAGTACAAATCTGACATCTTATATCTGTAGTGTCGGCTACAATTTGTACAAATCCGACATCTTATATCGGTAGTGTACACTACCATTAGTACAAATCTGACATCTTATATCTGTAGTGTACACTACAATTTGTACAACTAACCTTACTGTTCTAGAAGTACAAATCTGACGTCTTATACCTGTAGTGTCGGCTACAATTAGTACAAATCTGACATCTTCTATCTGTAGTGTCGGCTACAATTTGTACAAATCTGATGTCCTATATCTGTAGTGTACACTACAATTTGTACAACTAACCTTACTGTTCTAGAAGTACAAATCTGACGTCTTATACCTGTAGTGTCGGCTCCAATTAGTACAAATCTGACATCTTATATCTGTAGTGAACACTACAATTAGTACAAATCTGAGATCTTATATCTGTAGTGTCGGCTACAATTTGGACAAATCTGAAATCTTATATCTGTAGTGTACAATACAATTTGTACAAATCTGACGTCTTATATCTGTAGTGTCGGCTACAACTTGTACAAATCTGACATCTTATATCTGTAGTGTACACTACAATTTGTACAACTAACCTTACTGTTCTAGAAGTACAAATCTGACGTCTGATACCTGTAGTGTCGGCTACAATTAGTACAAATCTGACATCTTATATCTGCAGTGTCGGCTACAATTTGTACAAATCTGATGTCCTATATCTGTAGTGTACACTACAATTTGTACAACTAACCTTACTGTTCTAGAAGTACAAATCTGACGTCTTATACCTGTAGTGTCGGCTCCAATTAGTACAAATCTGACATCTTATATCTGCAGTGTCGGCTACAATTTGTACAAATCTGATGTCCTATATCTGTAGTGTACACTACAATTTGTACAACTAACCTTACTGTTCTAGAAGTACAAATCTGACGTCTTATACCTGTAGTATCGGCTACAATTAGTACAAATCTGACATCTTCTATCTGTAGTGTCGGCTACAATTTGTACAAATCCGACATCTTATATCGGTAGTATACACTACCATTAGTACAAATCTGACATCTTATATCTGCAGTGTCGGCTACAATTTGTACAAATCTGACATCTTATATCGGTAGTGAACACTACAATTAGGACAAATCTGACATCTTATATCGGTAGTGTACACTACAATTAGTACAAATCTGACGTCTTATATCTGTAGTGTACAATACAATTTGTACAAATCTGACATCTTATATCAGTAGTGTACACTACAATTTGTACAAATCTGACGTCTTATATCTGTAGTGTACAATACAATTTGTACAAATCTGACATCTTATATATCTTTGGTGTACACTACAATTTGTACAACCATCTGTAGTGTACACTACAATTAGTACAAATCTGACGTCTTATATCTGTAGTGTACACTACAATTTGAACAAATCTTACATCTTATATCTGTAGTGTCGGCTACAATTTGTAAAAATCCGACATCTTATATCGGTAGTGTACACTACCATTAGGACAAATCTGACATCTTATATCTGTAGTGTACACTACAATTTGTTCAAATCTGACATCTTATATCGGTAGTGTACACTACAATTAGTACAAATCTGATGGCTTATATCTGTAGTGTACACTACAATTTGTACAAAGCTGACATCTTATATCTGTAGTGTACACTACAATTTGTACAAATCTGACATCTTATATATCTTTGGTGTACACTACAATTTGTACAACCGAATCACGATCAAGACTCTTTTCTTTCCTGTATACCAATTACAGAATCGAACATGATGACATAACCTCAAGGACATACTACTTACAGTTGTTGTTCTTAAAACTGTTTCTTGTACATGGTCCTGAAATGACATGAAAACAATGTATACATTATTATAATTTCACGAAAAATAAGAATAATATGTGGTATGGATATTGTTAAGTTAACAATGCTGAGGTCACATGTATTTTATATTGCATTAATGATGCACATGTAAATTTACACTAACAAAGTAATTAAGAATTACCACTGCATTTAAATTTCCAATTTTACACAATATCTCAATTAAAGTTGTCAAAGATAAAACTCAGTAAGATATCTCTATATTCCAGTGAACCCCTTTCCATAACTAATAAAGGTGCCTCGTTTTTAATGTTGTGCCTAATCATACTTCCAGAATCATTTGATGGCTTCAAGAAAGCTGTGGTATATCGACAGTATATTTTCAAATCAGGCAAATTTTCCTAATTATGTACAGTTATGTTATGGCCTTGAAAACTCTGGCTTCACTTTGAATTGTTTTGTTTTTACATTGTTATATTAATTATATCCTTTGACATCAAGCTCCGTTTTAAAAAGGCCGACTAAGCGTTGAACAGTAATGATAGTTTACTGCACATAAAACAATGTGTCAGGGAGCCGGAATCACCACAAACTCAATTGATAAAGTAAAGCAACCCCTTTCTCTCATCACCACGGTAAACGGATCACAACATCAACGTCTCATGTTGACTGGGGAATAGTTTATTCAGTTTGACAGCTGGTAGGAATCATTCAGATGTTTCAGTGATCCCTGTATGATCTCAAAGCACCAGAGATAAATCATTTCACAGATATTTCAGTGATCCCTGTATGATCTCAAAGCACCAGGGAGAAATCATTTCACAGATATTTTAGTGATCCCTGTATGTTTCACAGATATTTCAGTGATCCCTGTATGTTTCACAGATATTTTAGTGATCCCTGTATGATCTCACAGCACCAGGGGGAAATCATTTCACAGATATTTCAGTGATCTCTGTATGATCTCACAGCACCAGGGAGAAATCATTTCACAGATATTTTAATGATCCCTGTATGTTTCACAGATATTTCAGTGATCCCTGTATGATCTCACAGCACCAGGGGGAAATCATTTCACAGATATTTCAGTGATCTCTGTATGATCTCACAGCACCAGGGAGAAATCATTTCAGAGATATTTCAGTGATCCCTGTATGATCTCACAGCACCAGGCAGAAATCATTTCATAGATATTTTAGTGATCCCTGTATGATTTCACAGCACCAGGGAGAAATCATTTCACAGATATTTTAGTGATCCCTGTATGATCTCAAAGCACAAGGGAGAAATCATTTCACAGATATTTTAGTGAGACATGCATGATCTCAAAGCACTAAAGAGAAAGCTGTGAGCACTATATACGGACAGTTAAATAAGCCCAATTAATGCTGTAACTGTTGGTTCTCAGTGAGCACTTTGAACTGAGATCGGCAATAAACAAGCTCCACCATAACGCTGTTAATGGATGTAAGATGGGAGTGTATTTGCTTTGAGATGATGATAGTTTTTAATAATTATATAAAAAATACAAATTTCATGTGCCAAAATAATGTGAAATGGGCAACAAATTATTTCTTGAGATATTTTGCAGCACATTTCTGTCATTGAATTATTAATAAATCAGGGAGCAACCATAATAATTGCCAATTTTGTTGCTATGAAAACACCCACCCAATAGGTCATTAAGTGTACAGATTCTCTGCCACTGAAACTTACAGCTTTTCTCAATTGAAATCAGGATATCAAGTGAGTTTGATACCAGTATTCATGTCGATGGGATCACATGTGAGCATCATTTTGGGAGGTACCTTCCCCTTACACCCCTCCTACAGCAATATACGGTACTGAAGAGTGACAAGGTATCAATAAAGAATCCCTAATTGCCAACATTTAACAAATTAACAAGTTGGTGTTCTTTATGCAAGCATGTTCTTGACATATGCCATCTTTTGCCACCAGGTGGTGCTGCTTGATACTATCGGTAAAGCCAGAAAGCAGTTTTTGCTTCTGGTTCCTCTTCCATATGAACCTGCTGACGTATTTTCACTGTAATCTGTTGATGTATTTATGTAAGGTGCTGCTGTCCATCATTGACCCACCCTACACCAAATAGCTCCAACACACCCTCAAGGTCAACACAAGGTCACACACAGCGCTCCATTAAACCACGAACACTTCAATTAACCTGCTCAAATGTTTGTTTGTATTTTACGTTCTATCAACAGCTTTGGTGTTTAAGGACGTACCAAATTTTGGTGGTGGAGGAAAACCAAAGTACCCAGAGAAATGCAAGGCCAGATTGGGATTTGAACCTAGGACCTTCTGAACTCTAGACAAATGCTTTACCAATCGAGCTACCTAGTTGTTACAAACAACCAAGCGCAGTTCTGCTTCAAACATACCGTGCATTATAAGGTAATTGTTTAAAAGCAAAAGCAATTTAACTTCAATCTAGATACGAAATCAAACACTGCAGTCCATACTCTACATTCAAATTCATTTTGTAAATATCAATATAAAAGTACATGTACATTTCACATGCAAAAATTCATGTCCAGTATTAGGTTACAATAATATATAACCAAATGTTGTTATAATGATGCTATACTGCCTATCTGCTTACGTAATCATATACATTTGATAAAACTACCACCTGAGTAAAATAACCCTGTCTACAAATGTTGAAAGCTATTTTGTTTGTATGAATTCTTCCTGTTTGTTATTGTTCATTTAAATTTTGATTGGAATCAAAAACTAAGTCAAGAAAGAATTTTAAAATAATTACATTATTAAGTCTACAAGGCAGTAACATAATCAATATATTAGGTTACCTAACCTGGTTACTGCAGTCCAAGGCTTTAAGACTCTGTCATGCCCAGGGGTGTATATAGGATAGGGAAATTATACCAAAGGGTTTTTAAATTTGGTAAAACACAAGATTCTGCTCCAATCTGAAAATCCTGAGGATGGAATTTCTTCATCCTACACCCCTGGGCATGAACAAAATATTTTTCGTTCATTCCAGTCATTACAATTAACTCAGAAACCCCCCAAAAGGGTGACAATTTCTGCATCACAGCCATTGTTTTCCCAATGTGACATCACGCACAGGAAATGAGTGTACAATAGAAATATGTTACAACCTTTCTTACCCTGGACAATTATGTTATACACACACAGGTATGATAGACTTATTACAGCTATTACATTATCTTAGTGAAATGTTTTATCAATACAATAAAATACAATTCACATTAGACCCACCCTTGACATCATGGTCCATAACACTGCTGATTTTACAGCATAAAATTGCAATATATTCATGCATATTCCTTATTCTTCATTTTGCTGAAATCATTATTCAATGATGTGCATATAATGTGCAAATTATCCAGCTTGCACACAATTCCATTTAAAAAAAAAAAAAATGTTCGTCTTGACATTTAATCATTACGTTAAATTTTGTTCTTGTCCAGAAAAATCGATGTAAATTGTATTATTCATTCCCAGGACAACCTAATTGATTTAATTGAACTTAATTATTTACTGGATATGTTCATTGTGTCCTTAAAATGCTTTTAGAATAAATATTTGATGAAGGAATTTGTTTTAATAATGCAAATATATTGCATATTTTTGAAGCTCAAGGTCATTTTTTCTGAAACATGGAAACTTTAGGGCCCATATTTTAAGATACAGTCGAACCTCGTTATCTCGAAGTCGACAGGGTCGTGGGAAAACTTTGAGTTATCGGAGTATTGGAGTTATGCGGGTTCATAGATTTGGTATGAAATTTGCTGTTGGGACATAGCACTAGCAGTTGTTGGTTTTATTAATAGTTAATGCTTTTAATCAATCGATAAATGATATACGTAATCAATATAACAAATACAGCTATGTAATTTTACAATAAACACACTTACACAAATAAATAAGTTATTTCAGAAAAACGTACTTTCGTTTTTAAACGCGATCAAAACGGTTGGACCATTTTGTGAATTCGTTATTAAATATGGACGGGGCCTAGTGATTAAATGTTGTTTTTGGCTAGTATAGATCTAGGCAAATCTTTCCAGGTCTGCATTTGTATTTGTAAGTCCGTCAAGTTTTACTTCTGAAGTGTTACATTTCAAACCGAACTATCCCGCTGTCTCTGATCTCGTAGTTTACAATGCGGAAATGAAAGTGTGCAAGTCTAAAACAAATCACTGTAATGGAGCGTAGGCATAGTTGATTCTGTAAATGAAAACACACAAACAAATTATATCGTACATGTGACACATTGATTCATTAAAGCCAAATATGACACCTCCTCAACTCGATGTAATCAACAGCAATTAATTGATCGTTTTGTTCTGAAATCTCTCGATCGACTTTCAAAGCCATACTGGCTCCTGTAAAAACATGAACCCGTAAAGCTGTCCTAGGTTGTGATTTTAACTGTCGAACTCTTTTATGCATGACCACGCTTTGTGACTAATTTTCCGGTTTGCACTGTCGTCTGTTTAGGTGTACAAATCATTAAACGGACTCGCAGTAAGTACAGATTACTGTTGATCAACTTTGATGCAGTTTGTTTTTTATTATGAATAACATGGTTTTGACAGTCCGTAAATTTTACAGTCCTAAGCTTTATCGTAAATTCTTTTTTACTGATTTCATGCTAGTCTACTTACGAAAGATGTTCATAAACACGGAATGCCGAAATGTCGTACTTTTGCGTTTTATTTGTATCAAAGAATTAACAAATGGCAAAATGAAATTTGGATACTACGTTGGATTGACGCTATTGAAACCAATATTTTACTTTGAGGTATCCGAGTTTTTTCGACTTTTCAGGGTTCGAATTATCAGAGTTTTATTTACTAAGATAAAGAAAAGATTTGGCCGGGACCGGAGAGATACTTCGAGATAAACGGGGTCTTCGAGTTAAAAGAGTTCGAGATAGCGAGGTTCGACTGTACTCTCGTTTGAGAAGTAATACGGACAGCCATACGTTTTAATTGAATTTTCATGGTC